TTTTTGCATTGCATTGCTGCAAAAAACGCATAAGAAACTGAAATGTCAGCGCCTATAAAAACATAAACCATCATATTTTCTTCACCAGCAGCTTTCCTATCATTCCCATTTCCACTTTCGCATTGTTCCATGTAGCTGTTCAAGCGAATTTTTCCACCGCACTGACGGCCTTAAATTGGTTCTTTCCTTGGAGAACTGGTCAGCTATTTGTATATTTAATTGAAGTGGAAATGAAATGATGAAGATTTAATGTTTGAAGAAGTACATTTTAGCATGCATAAATTTCTTAGAAGATTGAAAAAATCCACCGAATTTCAGGGCTGGAAGTGAGGGACTGTAGGGATGGCAGCGATGGATAAAGAACAGATTAAGGAGCCCGAAGACTCGTTGTTTGCACGCGAACAACTTCACACTAATGATGAACCATGGTGGCAAAGATAAGAGATTTTTATTTCTATCTACTTACGTATGAATCAAAGCATTCGGAATATGCTTTTGGCAAAGGTGCCAAAGCCAAACATCCACTGATAATGTTGTTGGTAACTCTCTGGTTCGAAAGTTACAAGTTGCGATTCGACTACTGACATACGACAGTACCAATTTATCATCGAAACGTTTAAAAAAATCTTAAAAGGACTGGGCGGAAATAAACCCTCAGCCTACTGCAAGAAAATAGTGATTCTTGTGCCATGACCATCGTACATAAGCTGGAGGCCTGCTCCCCGGTACCAAGGGGCCTGGTACAATTGCATCTGACATGTGATCGCACCCCAGAATGCCATTTATGTAGGATCTCTAGCCATTATTCGAGTGATTTTTGTATCTTTGGGAAAAAAGTGAAAATTAAAATCGATTTTTTAATGGTAATTCCACCTTCATGATTATTAATATTTTAGGAACTTCACCCTCTCCAAACCAACCTTGTTTGGCACATGGGACGGCGTGTTTACTACTGTTTTGGTGAACATCTTTGGTGTCATCGTATTTCTTCGAATGGGATGGATTGTGGTTTGTCAATTCGTTTTTGCCTACACATTAGTCCTAAATGGATTGCTGACATTATCCTCAAAAATTTATGCTGTTGAAAAGCATAAGAGGAAGAGTAGCCTAATTTGAGTTCCAAAATTACTTTCATGAAATTTGATCTTTCTTAAAGTAAGATGAGTAAAAAACTTAAAGCTTTGTGCAACATTTTCAAATTTTTTGAGAAATTATCGGAAGGAGTGGGTTCTTTTCGGGTATTTGCTCAAGATTTGTCTGTTTTGAAGGGGACAAAGGAGCAAGGAGGGGAGCTGCAGATAGAGAGAACTGGGTGCTGGGCTTTCATACCTCAGTAGTAGAGTTTTAGCAAGTGTTACATATTTACGCCCTAGCAAAAATTGAATTTCAAATAAATTTTCAGGATTTTATTGGCTTACTAGGTAGCTATGCGCTTCCGCTACACAAAAGGTTCTATCCTTCAACCAAAAGCACAGGAAAAAAACGTATTCTTATTGCAGGGAACAGCCGGCATAGCCAATGCTATCCTATTACTTATCATTTGTACCGCACTGGCTCTTATTTCGGTATTCTCCGCCATCGGGATTTGCGAGCGGTGCCAGATACAAAGCGGTGGCATCTACTTTCTCGTATCGCATGTACTGGGTGGACA